CTTTGCAATTCTAATGTATTTACAGCATTGTGCAAAAGAATAAAAACACCTTTATTTACAACAAACATAAAATTCCTTTGGGTAGAGCTGTGCACAACTCTAAACAATAATGCAGTACATATTGGAACTTAACCTACAACATTCATAGGTCTGTAAATAATTCATCAAATTGTTCAATTTAGACATTTTCAGGAGAAAAAAAAAAGGTATACATTTTTTTCAATTAAAATTTGCTTGACAGAGTTTGACAACTAGGTGACCAATTTTGTATGTAATGACTCGGGTAAAGAAAGACTATTAGTTTTATCTGGAATGACTATTCAGCATTCACAAGTTTAGTTAATTTTGACTGACATGACAAAAGCAAATAATGATGTTATGAAACAGCAGAGAGTTATATGAAAGCAATTGATGCATGTCCAAAAGCATTTGCAATTTGTTGGAAGGAATGAGAAACTGCTACTGTGTTGTGCACACATGACTAATTGTTTTGATGAATGCTTTAACTGCTGTTCAATTGTAAATAGTGTTGTGAGAAATGCACCAAAGCCACTGATAAAAACTGGAAATGCAGACTTTTAATGCACTTGTTGAAGTTTTAATGTCGTGTTTTGAATTCACATCACAAGAATCATTCAGAACATTTTGCTTTGCAATAAAGTAAGTAAATATAAATTTTTACGTAACCTCTAATATGCACCATATAGTGACTAACAGCTTATTTTATGTATTTGTAGTATGTGTGTTGGCCCTGAACTGTACCTAGCTGTTAGGTCCTACAGAAGCTGTGAAACGCTGTCATTGTACACGATTCTGCTACAAACCCCCAAAGACGCTTTCTCAATGCCCTTGCTCATTTTTTAGTGGCAGAACAATGGGCACATTTTATTAGCAGAGCAACGATCTGCTAGATGCATCTGCAGGTGTCTGCCCCGAACTGGAACAGCATGCTTGGGTTAACGCTCCCACACAAAGCTTTGCACTGTTTCATTACGAGCCACTGTTGAGGTCTAGAGCAGCCTAAGGTGTAGCTCTCTCTGCTCTGCTGATATCAGGGCCTCGCCGTGAAAGAATGCGCCACTCCGTCTGAATGTGTCTGTGGCGGCAGGTCTGGCCAATGGAGGCTGTTATCTGCATTCCAGGGGTGTCTTATTTGCTGCACGGTAGTGAGAGGGGCCGAAACTGTGGCAGGCTGCATGTAACGGATACCCTTGTGTCAGCTGTTTCCTGCACGGCTGCTGACAAGGCCTCCCATTCACAATCAGCCCTTTCTCTCCCCCCTGCAATGAATAAGTAATTATTCGGTATAGGAGGCAGGATACTTGGACTGGCCTATTGAATGTGGCAGCAGCAGGTAAAGTGATCAGCCGGGCCGTAACTCTTCCTGCGAAGCTGTAACCTTAGCTGCTGCCAGCTCTCTGTTTATTTAGCACGTCGGACCTGGTCTTTGTCCCGCCAGGGGACAGTTTGCAAGATGGGCTCACATTCGCTTCCATTCTATCACTTGCTGTAATATTTAATGACAAACACGGTTTGAGAAGCAGCTCTGGTAACGGGAGCTGGACCTCTTCAGCGGAGCGCAGGCTAAAGGACAGCTTGATCCCTGATGTGAAGGTGTAACACACGCCGTGACTTAGCATTTGCTTATGAGGGATAATCTTACTGTCACTCTTAGGAAGAAAAGAAACAGTAGCTTTTTAAAGGATTGAAGTTAATAATTAAAAAAATATATTCATTGATGTAAATACTATAATATTGGATACGTTCAATATTTTTTTTTATTTAAAGGTGCAGTATGTAACTTTGACACCCAGTGGTCAAACTAGTTATTGCATTTGTTTTGATGCAGGAATGCAAGCACAGGTTGCCAGATTGTGGAACAACAAGGCTGATTTGAATCGTGTTCTAAATAAAAGCAACAGCACCCGATAAAAGGAATGTTTTCTATATTAAAAAGTAAAAAAAAAACTTTTAAAGTTTTTGTACTAACCAACACCTCGAATTGATATATTAGAAATGGCTTCTATTTCATGCAGCTGAACAACAGAAAACTGACAATGATCACTTCAGGTACATCTCATGTGCCTGATTCAGTGTTAAATGCTAACAATGTGAGAATAAATGCCATTTTTCATGACTCTTATTTGCCATACCGCTGAAAGCAACAGCAAATAGTTCACCTTGAAAAAAAAAAACTTATTAAAATTGAACTTTGGAAGTAAACACATATCAGTGATTCAGCGTGTAATAATGATAAAGAGGTTTAATATGTATTATTTGATTATAAACCTTGCCTTTTGTTGAGCAAGTGCAAATTCTGTGCTCCTGAATGGCTGTATTTAAATTTCTGTCGTGTTTCGTCTGGTGCTACAGCCAAATTGTTAATCACTGCAAATCTCATCATGTAGCGTATTGGTAGGCCACAGGGTTACAATACAACTGCTCACCTAATGTTTACGTTTTTAATGTTTATATTATTTGCTAATTAATAACCTCATGTGGAACTCTGAATCTGCGTCTTCTTTCGGAGGCTGTTTCTGTCCACAGGAGGTCACGTTTCGGTCACGGGCGCATGCTTTGACAGCCTTTCTGAATGAATGAATGAATGAATGAATGAATGAAATATGCAGTTTTCCACCAAGGCAACCCGGGGTGCTGAAATATGATGGGCTAAACTAGCATTGGGCAGGTTAAAAGAACCAAAACAAAGATATTATCAAAGCAGAATATCTGACTTCAGCATTGTTTTTCAGATAAACAAGAATGTTCACTTAGCATGTTTCCTAAATTTCTACAAACATATTGTGGTCTGTTTATGCTTTAGAAGAGTTCAAAACTTACACACAGCATTTTTAAATCACCTTCGCCATTAAATTCATGCTCCCTTACGGTTAAAAGACCAATAATATAGTAATGCAATTAAATATAAGCTTTACCAAAGTGGTAAATGAATATGAAGCTTTAATAGTTTTCTAGTCCCTAAATTTGCCTACATTATGTAGTATACTTTCTTTATACAAAAGTGTAATATTAACTAGACCCAGTCAAATCCTAGTTTAAAGGGATAGTTCACCCCAAAATACAAAATTCTGACATCATTAACTGAGCGTTCACTTGTCACAAGCCTGTTTGTTTCTTTTTTGGTTAAACACAAATTTTAAAACATTTTGGAAACTGGTAGCCATTCATTTCCATATTATTTGTTTTTCTACTATCTTTTGTGTTCACTTGAAAAAGAAAGGCATAAAGCTTTGGAACCACTTGAAAATTAGTAAATATTAAGTAAATTGGTATTTTTGGGTGAACTATCCCTTTAAGTTTTAAGGTAAAATACATTTTAATAGTGCTCTAATTAACAAATTGAGGACCTCCCCATGTATGACAACTGTATTTTCAGCATCATTATTTCAGTCTTTAGTGTTACATGATCCTACAAAAACATTTTAATATGCTGATTTAGTAACTGCTCTTATTATGGATTTTCAAAGGATTGTGCTGCCTTATGGTTTTGTGGATTTTTTGTTTTGTTTTATAAATAATATATTGGCTATCACTTTTTTTCAGTTTAAATGAGCTGCTTTATGTAGTAATTTTCTTATTAGAAAATTGTGAACAACTTATCAACATAAAGGAAAATTTGAACAATTTTATTTTAGGAATTGTTTTTATTTTAGGGGAGGGACAAAAGTATGTTAAATGTACCGTATATGCTCTTAAAAAAAAAGAAGTGTGCGTCCGTGCGTGCGTGCGTGTGTGTGTGTGTGTGTTTAAAAAAATTTAATCTTATTAGTTACAAATTAATACATCTGGCATAACTTGTTTAATTTAAGCACATTTCCACTGACTTGGAATTTGTTATTTCACTTTAGTTTAAGCTAATTTAACCCAAGAGCAAATCTGTTTTACTAATTTTAAAAATCCTTACTGATCTCAAAAGTAGCGTTAGAATAATACCACTTAATATTACAAGTTAAAAATTATGAAAGTAAATTTATTCAATTTTACCAAACCAAAAAGTCATTTCTTGATCGCATTGGGATGTTTATCATTAGTATATTTTTGGCAGTGTATTGCCAACATTCTATTTTTTTTCTAATCAAAGAACCAAAACATCTTTGCTTTGAGTGCATCGGTCCATTTAATCACATTCAGTCTTGTGCATCCTGTGTGCTAGAGGGCAAACAATAAGTTGCTTTCTGCAGCTCACTTATAGGTCATTTGTATAACTGTTAACATGGGCTTCTCAATTCCCTATGCAGTCCTGCACATCTATAAATCTTACTGAACCAAAACTTTTAAACTATATTTGAAACTGTGCAGACTTTTTTTTACACCAAAATCGGTGCAGAAAACCTGAAAAGAAAGTAGGTCATTACAGCATCTGCACCCACCTATCAGCAGTGACCAAAAACCTAATTCATGCCTAATTCAAGCCATCTAGTCCATCAGATGATGAAATGATACTGGAAATATTCAAGGTGTAACATTTCAGTTAGATTGTAGGTTAAAACGCTTGACTTGCAGTAAAACTTCATGCATGCAGTATTTCAGCACTCTGATGAAATACCGCTGTCTCCCACAGAATGAAACCGTGGCTCTGCTTGACATCAGCTGTGTAACACATGAGTTTTGTGTCATTCCCATGAATAAAGGAGAAAGTGGGACACTTAAAATCCCCATCCCATCCTCAAGATCAGTTTCACCACTAGAGCTGGCTGCAGGCAAGCATGGCCTTTTGTGTGAAAGCTGCAATTAGAGAGATCCAATCAGGAGCCCCCTAGCATGAACAATGGCATAGTCTAAAATTACAGTCTTGCTTGGGGTCATTCTGTTTTGACTTCTAGCATTTGCCTGTTTTGTGGATGATTATCTATATGACCACTAATACAAAAGCCTTTTCATGAAGTGGACAAACAAGGGCTGTAGCATTGTTTCATGTAGGATGTTGCTCTTTGTAATGTTTTCGCTTGACTTGTTTTTCTCTCTTTTGTATCCTGCAGTCCCCCGTGTCTTGTTCTCTCTGTCCTTGCGCCAACCTCAAAGCGGGGCAAAAAATGGCTGAAATGTCCAAGGACAATGAGAAAGACAAAGATGGAAGCGGGAAAAAAAAGATCCCAAAGATCTTCTTTGGCACTCGGACTCATAAGCAGATCACACAGATTGCTAGGGAGCTGAAACGAACGCTTTACTCCACCGTGCCCATGACGATACTGTCCAGTCGAGACCACACCTGTGTCCATCCTGAAGTGGTTCCTCATGCCAACCGCAACGAACGTTGCAAGGAGTTCCTGGAGGCCAAGAATGTGAGTTGGCCCTTCCTCTGTTACATTGTGACATCGCAAGCACCTTCGAGCATAGGTTCTTCATTCATCTGTCATCATTAGAGAGATAAAAAAGTGTGGAGTTAGAGTTCATCGAGTTCAAGGCGTCTTATGAGTCGGAACCTTGAACTCTGTCAGTGTCAGAATTTTGAAAGACCTAAAGATAGACAGTAAATTCTTTTCACTTGGTTCTCACAAAACCTTTATTTAAATGCCTAGGCTGTAGCGATGAATCAAAAAGAAAGTTCTTGGTCGCAACAAATGATGTACTTGGCCCAAAATACCCATTATAATTGTAGTCTTTACTTTATAACAGCTCAACAAATAATTTTTTTTTCCACATATAGAAGGCATTCTTAGAATATTTTACTAAATAAATCAATTTAGGATCATTTAGATCATTCTGATGAATAAATATAAAGGACCCTACCATACACCCGGCGCGATAAAGCGCAAGACATGTTTTGTGTGATTTGCTGCTATTTGATACCAGCACAACTGTAATTTTCATGTTTTCCACCACGTTGTTTAAATAGCAAATCCATTTGCACCACTATGTGGACTCATGGATCTGTTGGTCTATAAAGGAGCATTGTTGGCACGTTGCTATTTTGAGCAACTAAAATAGACAGCTGTTGACGAGCTGAAAGCAGATGTAAAGGCCAACACAGAACCAGTTAGTTGTGCCTATGTATTCAAACGCTCACACATTGCTTATTACACACAGGATGTGCAGCAATACACAAAAATATTTACATACAAGAAAAATAAAGGATTAAAATGTTACAGAAATTATTATTTTAACATAAATATAACAACCACTACCTCCATGCCTTCTACATCTCGTTTTTTTTTTCAGTTCATGACAGTTTGCTTTTGTATAATGTTTTTTTTATTAGTAGTAGTATTATTTGTTTATATTTGTTTTAATAAAAACAAGTTTAGATTTATACACCTGTCAGGTTTTGGACCATAAGAGGCTGAAGAATAAGACGCGTGTTTTTTGACCACACTTCGTTATTTTTGTTCATTTATTCGTTTGCTGTTAGTAGATTAGTTTTAAAACAAATCTTAACAAACAAAATTAAATATGTAGGCTGTGCTGTGGAGTGCATACAACACCGTTTTCCTTATCTATAAAAGTAAAGGAGTAAAGTAAAGAGAAAGTAAAGAGGCCGAATGGAGATGGTTTGTTCCTTATCCTCGCGTGGCAGATTTGTTTTCGCTAGTGAAGCATTCAGTTTTTTTGACTTACAAATTCTGCCATGTAAATAGCAAATGCACCATGGTGTGACAGAACTGACTCTCAAAGGGAATGGGAGATGAGACTCTGGTTTATTTAATGCATGTATGCTCAACACAACCATAACTCATTAAGAGAATAAGCACAACCTTGTTAGACCATGCACCGTGGTGCAAAGCGAGTTTTTCCATCCTTAAAAAAGCAAAAGTGGATTTAGACATGCCCTTAATGTATTTTCTCCATGTGCGTTAGACTTTGCGCCTAGATCGTTAAAATAGAGCCAATTGACCGTTTTAACTGGAAGTTCCGGTAACACCTATAATAACTACACACTATGAATGTTAAGCAATAGCATCTAGTTAGTTGATATTTTGTTAAGCATTAACTCTACATTAATAAACGTTAGTAAACAGTTTATAACTGCAGCTACAAATACTGCATTATTGACTTATAACCAGATTTATAATGTGCTTAATAATTGTACTTTCATAATTTGTGACTGGTTGGTTTTTCATTACTAAATTAAGTATTGCATTATTTACAAACCATTTGTATTTAAGAGTAGTAGGAGGTTTTAAAGATCATTCAGAATGAGTTAGTAAATGATTATTTAACTATTAAAATTATACAAATTAACATTTGTATATCCTATTACTCAGGCATATAGTGATGGTTAATATGTATGATAATAAATGCTTTATTAACTCAACTTCATGCAGTTTCATGACAATCTAGTGAAGACTATTTATGCTTTATAAATACCTTATAAATGACAATTAAAGGCTTGGTATTGAATGAACAATAATCTTTGCAATATTATCTAGAGAAATAAAATTACTGTATAGTTTAAACATTGTTAAATAACAGGAGTGTCTAAATACAACATAAAATTGGAAAAACAACAATATAATAATTTAACAATATAATAGGATGCAACATTTCATTGATATTTAGCAATGTTTAAACGGTACAGTAATTTTGTTTTAGATAAGATTACAAAGATTTATTTTTTATTTGACACAGTTTCATTTGTGTATATTCAAGCGAATAGAAATAAATAAAGTAGTTTATTTTCTTTTTTTCTGTTTAGAATACAACTGAGCCTTAATTTGTAATTTTTAAGGGATTTATAAAGCATACATAGTCCTGACTTTAAAGTACAATTATTAAGCACATTGTAGATGTGGTTATAAGTCAACAATAGAGCATTTGTAGCTGCAGTTACAGTATAAACTGCTTACTAACTTTTAGTAATGCAGAGTTAATGCTTAACAGATAATTCATTCACTGTTTGCTAATGCTTAATAAATGGTTCATAGTGTGTAGTTATTATAAAGTGTTACAGAAGTTCCTAATAAATCAATAATTTTTCACTCACAGCAAACTTACTGTTTTAAGGTTAAGGATATTTTGCCTAAGCTTTCAAACTTGTACAACCAGACAAAGAATGCCATTCCAGAATAAGGTAATTTATAATAACCAAGAAAAAAAATGCACAAGCAGAAATTAATTGTTCACCTAAATAAATGCAGTCCCTCATTTATAATTTCTGACTAGAAATGGATTGAACCTGTAAACAATGTACCGATTACTTACCATTTTTAAATATGAATGATGACTTTCTTCATTCCAGAACACCCATATCATATATATTACATTCCTGAGGTAAGAAGACGTAAAATGAAAACCGCATTCTGTCTGAGCCATCCTTAATGCATTACTTAGTTTCATTACTTTCGATATAATTCTCATGCACTGACGAATTTTAAATTTGTATGTGATGATAATTTTGTGTGTGTGTGTATAGTTTTGTGTGTAATCTTCCCTGTTCTCTGTCCACTGACCACCTAAGTGTACAGGTCATGGCCTGTGCCCAGTGTCATCTTGGAGTGTTTGGCCTAAGTAGTGATCAACCCATCGTGAATTTGTTAGCCATTGAAAGTCTTGAACTGGATCTTGTGAACGGAGATTGACCTTCACTGTGGAACCAAACACCTGGTTTCCTGATCTTCACAGTGGCCTGCAGGCCAAACAGCAAGTGTGGCCACTTATTCTGTGAACCCTCTTCTTCTTTCACTGTAACACTGTCGAAAGAAAAGAAGATGAGCTGCCGACTCTGAAACACAAACCCTTGCTTTAAGGTTACACAAACTTAATCTCCATCACCAAAGCTGTGGAGAACAGTTGCAGGCGATAATATCCCCAATCAGTCATACAGACCTTTTTGTTGTGCAGCCTTGTCAGAGGCTTCAAACGCACTTTGTTCCAGCAGGAGATTCAGTATTGTCAGTGTTGCTTATTCTCTGACCATTGGGCAGCACGCATAATGATACCTATTACGCTGTCACCACAGGTGCCCACTCACCTGTCCACTGTCATGCTGCTGCACATGAAAGTGGGGGAAGACCATCCCGACAACCCCGTTCGGAAAGAGGAGAGAATGAGCTGTCGTTTTCCTCATTCTCCCTCGGGCCCCATCTCTTATATCCCCCTATGAGCCCCGCTAAGAGTCTTTATTCTGCTATCCTGGCCCTGCTGAATAGCTGAAGAGCGCAGGCTTTTCAGACACTTGTCGTTAGGTCGCACATCCCTCAGCGGTGCCATCATCACCTTCATAGGAGTTAGAAGACAGGGGGATAAAAATGGCATGATCGGGTTGACGTTTATCCCGTGCTTCCATTGATGGCTAATCCCTCTTTGAATATGTGTACTGGAAGCTGCTATCAGCCTTTCAGCAGGATGTTCCAGGGCTCTGTGAATTGCAAAACAATGCACATATGCTTCCCTTTTCTGCAGGCAAAGCCATACGTAAATGAACATAAAAACATTTATCTTGAGGATGTGAAAGTGATATCACTTTGTTTGTAGCAACAGATAAGGACCCATCTAAATACTAATTTAATGCAAAAACTAACCGCTCATTTTCATTTAGTGGGATTTACTGTAAGTCTACAACCATGGAGTTGCTTGCTTATACAGCTTATTTTGCACATAAAAATGTGCTTTGCCATTCTGCGTATGTTGAGACTTTCATTCATTTTTAGACATTCAGAGCAACTTGATATGAGGATTGATGTTGCTAACAGTTTTTTTTCTTATCATATTATTTTAATGTATTGTTATGAACACATGGCTTTGAAGTGCAAGCAGTTTGACAGTTAACTTCTGCCATTTGTTATTCTTACTCATTTACCCATTGCAGCAAAAGAACCAGCCTAACATTAGATATCTTACCAACTGCGCTTAAAGGTCCCATGAAATTAAAATAGTTTTTTTACATGTTATTATGAGTATGTTAGTCTTAAAGATATCTAAAAGCTAGTGTTCTCCAAAATAGTGACAAAATTTACGTTTAGAAAATATAAACCAGATTAAAAAATCTAAAGCTTGCAGTGTGTCACTTACACCTAAATGATTAAACTTTTTTTACAAGACGCCTCGTACAGTTTCTCATCAAATCTTGATCAATCAAATGCTATCTAGTATCTGACATGTCCCGCCCCTTCAAGATGTTTTTCATTTGCTTTTTATTTGATGCGCATGAGCTTAACCCCTCTCACTTGCAGAGCTGTCATAAAACATAATGCTATTGGCTGTTTTTTAAAAGGGGAGGAGCTACGCTGTCCCACCCTCTTTTTGTGTTTCACTTGAGATTACATTAAACATAGAATAAAAAATGCACATTTCAAACAGGACCTTTAAGGGTAACATAAATATGAGTTTTGTATTGTGCGTTCCACACTGGTAGTTTCATTTGAGCCTTTAAAAAAAGAGTTTTTACTCTTACATTTTAGTTCCATTTTAATGATTTGCTGTAAGGAAAATTGAAATAAATTTATTGTGATATTTCATTTCAATAAAATATGCTTATGTTAATGTCTTTTCAGGGTCGGTCATGCCGGTACTACCACAATGTCCATAAAATGCGTGATCAGAGCACTTTACAGTGGGTTCATGGTCTACACCAGGCCTGGGACATTGAAGAACTGGTGCGTCTTGGTGGTAAACTGCGGTCTTGTGCTTACTATGCAGCTCGGGAGCTCATGCAAGAGGCCTGCATTGTTTTCTGTCCATACAACTACTTGCTGGACCCCCTCATTCGTGAAAGTGTAAGAAGCAAACCATAAACCTTTCCATAAGTTTTATTATATAAAGAGTATACATAGTTTCTTCTAAGGATTATAGTAGGGCTGTTTTATTCATTTGTTTTTTATAGAATACTTCCAGTTTATAGTTTAAAATTGTAATGGGAATGGTCACTTTACACTTTAATATGGCATTTAACAGATGGTCACAGATATACGTAGCATTGTTTTGGATTAAAACAGCATTTTTGTTGTTGTTTTTAATGTTGTAATAAAATGATGATTTTTTTTCTTTCTGTACATTTAAGAATCCAGTTTTTTAAGAAAAATCACTCATTTCCACTAGTAATATTTTTGTTTGTATTTGCCATATACCATAATATTTACCATATCATAATTTTAGAATGATTTCTGATGGATCATGTTACACTGAGTACTAAAGTGATGCCTGCTGACCGCCTCCAAAGGACATGACAAAGAAAGAGAAGTGCTCACACTTTATTTGAATTATGTTCTAGAGAATTATAAAAAAAAAAAAAATATATATATATATAGCTAGCATTAAATAAAGAAGAACTTCCAGAGTCTATCCCAGTTCAGTGCTGGATTCAGCTAAAAACTCCTTAAAGGAGCAGCTCCAACAAGTAGAAGCTGTGGATTGTCAGCCACAACCTGTAAAGGTCTTTAATTTGTTAAAACTGAACCATGACATAAACTGTGTCTAGCATTAACGGTATGTTGTAGAAAGTATGTAAACAATGGCAAATGCTGTTTGACCGACCCAGCTAACAATTTAGCTACAAATTCATATTTATCCATCAAACTGCTGTAAACACCTCTCTACACTTTCCCTGCTTTTACATCTCAGATAATGAACTTACAAAAGATATTTGAATGTTTTATATTACTTACACATGCTTATTCAGAATATATGTGAAAGACATGTAACGCGTTGAGTTGGGTAAAAACAATACAGGATAGCTCGTCTAACTCGTGTTGCAGCAGAAAAATCAATCAAAGCTTACACAGATTGCACTCCATATCTTGCGCTTTATTATTCTGTCAACAGCATCAATGTATATTACAGAAAAATAACTTAATTTAAGCATCAGAAAAAAGTACATTAACATCAGTCCTGCACACATGCTGTTCTAGTGTTACATGCGTCTACAGACTATTCACACACACACACACATACAAAAAATGTTGAATCTCTCTTAAAGAAGCCACAACCTATTTTCAATCGATACAGACACTTGTCAGATTTTCTTTTAGAGAGCAGGCATAAGGTTCATCCTTTTTATTTTCTGTCTGATTAGGGCTCAAACAGGTACTGCTAACAGTTACTCTGACTGACAGTATTAACACAGCAGAGGCAAAGTGAGTGCTTGTGGATGCGTGACGCTTTCCTGGTGATGTGGAGCCAATCCGCGAACCACAGTACATTATGTTAGCTGACCAATCAGAGCCTCTTAAGTGATATGCCTTACAGAGGAACTATTAAATATGACAGTCGTTTTTTATGTTAGCAGAGTAGCTGCATATAATCAAAGTAAGATATTTGAAAAAAATTAGGTGATTTTCTACAAACGAAGCATGAGCATCTTTTTGTATCTTATTTGTATCTTATAAACACAATCAAGCCTTAAAATTACACTCTGACCACCCCTTTAAATATTACAATTAATATTACAATTACTTTCAATTTTAATATTTTTTGACAATATTGACATTTTACTACATGTGATATTATCAGATAACGTCAGTAGAAAGAAGAAAAATCCATATTCTTATCTCATTGCAGTGATAGAGATTGACTTGTAGAATGTCTTACTTTTGGACATAGTCCAACCTTGTTTTAAAGTATTTCGTTAAAGTCTTCAAATAAGATTAAAGACACATGGTAAGATGTTTTAAGGATTTTTATATAGTATGCTCCCATCTGTTGATAACTGTCGTGCCGTTCCTCTGCCAGATGGAAATCAATTTGAAGGAGCAGATTGTGGTGTTGGACGAAGCTCATAACATCGAGGACTGTGCCCGTGAGAGTGCTAGTTTCACCCTGAACCAAGCTCAGCTGTTGCTGGCACGTGATGAGATCGATGGAATGGTGACACACAACATTCGGCGTGATCAACACAGGCCTCTGTTGGCCTTCTGTTGCAGCCTCACCAAGTATGAACACTTTTTTTACTCAATGTTTTACATTGTATGAAGTGTGGCATTTATAATGTGATTTATCATAAATATTTCACGGATCAGCTTTCTCATGCCAATCTGAAATTAGTGTTTAATAGGGATTATTTTACTGTATAAATGACATGTGGTTAAAAGAATGGGCTGAATGTCTTGATAATAATTAATATGACATAAATCCTAGTTTAATGAGTGTTTTTATAACTTATTTTAAATGTGACCAAGGTATTTTTATCAGGCTTCTTTTATATGATAACAATTTTAGCATGTGGATATTTCTTCAAATAATTAGTTACTTAGAATTAAATAATAAGCATTTTTTTTTTTTTGATCTGTACTGCTTTTTGCTTAAACAGACAAAGAGGTTTATTCAGAGGTTTGTTTAATGGAAGCACACAGGTTTTTAGAAATGTAATCCAGTGTTAAATGCATAGTTCACACACATGTTCTGACTTTTTTCTCACCCTCAGGTGGTTTCAAACATTTACAACTTTATCTTCTGTTATACACAAAAGAAGATATTTTGAAGAATGCTGAAAACCTGTAACCATTGACTTATAGTAGGAACACTTTCTTCAAAATATCTTCTAGTTACAAGTAATGTATGTAAATAATGACCAAATTAAATTATTTTGGTGAAATATCGCTTTAATATCTTTTTTTTTACCTTTTGTTATTTAAAATTAACAAAAATATATATTTTGTTAATTGGTGTAAAAAGTGAATGGATATATTAGGGGATTAGTCCATGATCAGTGCGGATCACAACCCACAGTTAGGAACGCACATGATCCACAGATTAATTAGGGGTTCAAGCACATAGTCCTGAAACCCTACTGTATTTGTTAGGATTGTTATAACTTCAAAGCGCTGAGAGGGATACAGGTTTTACATTTTTCCAGTTCGTTACAAACAATTAAATGACAAAGAAGTACCGGGAGAACAGTTTATAGTTTAGATATACACTGATGAGTTTGGTAAAGATTAAAATCACTGTTTAATGGAACTTGACGCTGGTGAATGTTGTAGCAATTACATTGTGTAACTAATAGGTGGCGACAAACAACCATTAAAATAATGTCACTGAATACAACTATAATGAAACATGAATGTGTGAATTGTTGAATCATTAATTGAAAATAAATATGATCTGTTGTACAAGATGGTAGATGTCTATATTTAGCATTATCAGCAACAGTAACAAAGATAATTTTCTATTTTGAATATTTTCCTTTTTTTAAATAGTTTTTTTCTTGATTTCTATTTTTATTAAAAATACAGGTTCTAAGTTCTGTTTATTAAAACTAATGGGTTTTGCAGTAATAATTTTTGTATAAATTAAAGGAAATGACATTGTCTTCTCCCTGTTTTGCTGATCTGAAAAATGGTCTGATCTGTGACTCAAAAAAAAAACCGTAAAATTATCCAAACTGTGAGATTTGTGTTTCGTTACACCACTAGGATATATAAATGACAAAATAAGCAAATACATAAAAAAGGTATCTAATAAGGAGCTAAATAATCCAAATATTGCTCTTTAAAAGACTTGAATGAGATCAGTTATGTTTGTGTTCATTATTTATTGTAGTTGGGTGCAGGAAAGCTGTGGTGGCTTAGAGGAACGTGAATATGAGTCTTCCTGTAAGGTGTGGACGGGTGTGGAGGTTCTTGGCATCTTCCGTGGCCTTGGTATTACAGCAGACACCTTTCCTTTGCTGCAGGTATTCTTCTTCCGTGCATCTTCCTCTCCTTTGACCAGAAGAGTATACTAACAGTTTGCCCCCTTTTTTTGTTATCTTATTTGTGTCTGCTTTGTGTAGAAAAACCTGGCAGCGGTGCTGGAGAAGGAGGAGCGAGTCGGGCTAGTGAACGGGAGAGAAGAGACTGTGCAGGTTCCCACCATCAGCTCCAACACTCAGTCAATGCTCAAAAGCCTCTTTATGGTGCTGGAATTTCTTTTCAGACAAAATTGCAGGTCATTATCACAAACTACCCATCATTCTTCTTACCTTACTATCTCTAAAAAGGTTTTTGGCAGTGATTTTTAAAGACTCCTTGAAATGGGAATAGGAGTTTTATAGCTTCTAGTCCACCTTTATGGCGTTATGCTAGTGGACTTCTTAAAGTTTAAAAAAGGTTTAAGTGTTCAGTTTAAAGGAGAACTACAAATTCAAAATAAGCTGCAAAAAGAAAATTATTAATTTAGTTATAATAATAGCAATATTTGATGTGTTGATTTTTGAGAAATTGAGCTTTAAGTATGAATTATCTGAGAAAAGACTTCTAATGTAACTGCATGTAAAGTGCATATATTTCAGGGTGTCCGTGGTGTATTAAAAATTGATAAATTAATTATGACAAAATTAGGGCCCTTAAAAGTTATAAAAAAAATCTTAATCATGTTTTTACGAGGTCTTAAATTCTGTTCAAGCGTTGTCTAAAGTGTTTGACCCCAAAAGAGCATAAATACATTTATTTTCCTCTTAATGTTAACAACGGTGAGCTCAATCCACGCGATTGGTTCAGGCCGGGGCGCGTCCGGCCAAACTCCATTGTCCGGGTTATGTCATGTTTTTGCGACAAATGCGGGAAGGTGATGTGACTCCACATGTAGCAAACCCATAGAGCAAAGCAGATGGCAAAATGGGAAAATGTAAGCCTGCGTACTCCTGGTTGGAAAAAGACGAGTTTAAACAGTGGCTGAAGCCAAAACAACCGCATAATTTATTCTTTCAAGCTTTCTTTCTTCTGAGCTTATCTGAGTTCTGTTGCATGGTTGTGTTCCATTTGTTTATTTAACTACAACTGTTTATCAACAGCTGTTTATTAAGTGAAAGGTTTAATACTGATTACAACTTGAAGTGGTGATGAGGTCTTAACATATTCTGAAATGGTCTTTAAAGTCTTAAAAAGGTTTTGAAATTACCATTAGGATTCCTGCATATACCCTGTGTTTGCACCTGAAATGACAAAAAAAAATACTTAGAAACAACCGCACTTTTTGCTGAGAGATGCGTAAAAATAATTTCCATATTCTAATTACCTTTTTGTCAAATTATTTGAAATCTGTTGAAGAAAGCCATGACATTGTCTTTCCATCAATTTGTGACATTTTTGACTTGTTACAATACTTGGTCTCAAAATATTCAATTGAAATTTATCTGAAAATATGTTTTGTAATGTATTTACAAATCGATGTTAAATGATTGAATCAGTAAGTGTTTAAAGGAATAGTTTGAAATAATCAATGAAAAAACAAATATATTGGTAATGTTGTTAAAAATAAAAATCTATCTTTATTATCTCATACTTGGAAAATGCAGGATGATAAAGGTTAGTAATCTAATGTCACAGTCCTCCATATTCGTTGTTGGCACTTTATTTCACTGTGCTGAAATGCTGAAATGAAGTGTCTTCTGCATGTTCTAGTAAGCCACCTAATGTCTCAGAATCCTGTAAATCAACGTTTAAGTGTTGGTTTTCTTTCATTTTCCCTGTACAGGTTTGCAGATGATTACCGTGTGGCCCTCCAGCAGAGCTACATGTGGACCACCCAGCAGGACCTGCCAGATGCGCAGGGCTTTTTTGCACGACCCCATCGTCGCCGACAAAGCAACCGCACCAAAACACTAGTGCACACACTAAGCTTTTGGTGCCTCAACCCTGCTGTGGTGAGAGCAACTGTTATAGCTCTTTTAAATTCAACATTTTTCTTTTTTTTTACATTATCAGTGTGAGAATGAACTGGAAGCTTGTTGTGATTGGTGACGCGTGTCATTACAGGCATTTTCAGATCTGAGCAGTACAGTGCGGAGTATCGTGCTCACTTCAGGAACCCTCTCTCCTATGGGCTCCTTTTCCTCAGAACTGGGCATCAAATTTTCCATCCAGCTGGAGGCCAATCATGTCATCAACAAGTCACAGGTCAAACACTTCTACACGTTGAACTACAGAATGATCTTATTTGTAGAACTTTAATATCAACTGTTTGTGAAGTTTTTAAATATTTTTAAGTCTCTTAAGAGTTTTTTTTTTTTTGTTAATAAAGTAGATTGAGTATATATTAATAAATGGATGAATTAATAAGTGCATTCATTTGTTAAAAATACAGTAAATATTGTGAATATTGTAACTCAAAAAAAAACTATAAAAACTGAAAGGTTGTGAAATATTATTGCAGTTTTTTCATTAATATGTTCTTATCGTATATGTAAAACCTAAAGGTAACACTTTAGAATAACTATCCGTTATAACTAGTTAATAGATCATTAATAAACTGTTAGTTAATGGGTTAGTAATGACTTGTTAAATAAAATGTAATAGTTTGTTAATTATTTATAACTGTGCCTTATAGATAGCCAACAGATAACTTACAAGCTGTTAGTTAACAAGTTGTAAATGACTTCTTAACTGTATTTTAATGATTATAGCTATACCTAATACATTAGTAACAGATCATCAACAAGCTCTTAGTAAATTACTTACTGAAGACTTGTTAAGTATCAGTTAATAGTGTATATATGTTACTGGGACGTTATTCTAAAGTTGTGATTATTCTTCATCTATTAACTGTTAGTAAATGAGGAATAGTTGCAACTTTAGAATAACATCCCAACAACATGCATAAGCTAATAACTAACACTTAACTAATATATTAACTCACAAATCACATATCAGTTGTTCCAATCTACTAACACCAGTTAAACTTTTGTTGAACTTGAACTTATTCCATCCATTTGCTGTTCAACAAAGTTTCACTGGTATTTGTAGATTGTTAACAAACTATGAACAACAGATTGGTAAAGTGTAAGTTAATAGATTGGTTAAGTGTTAGTTATTAGCTTATGTATGTTATTGGGATGTTATTCTAAAGTTGCAACTATTCCTCATTTACTAACAGTTAATAAATGAAGAATAGTTGCAACTATAATAACGTCCCAATAACATATATAAACTATTTACTTTTACTTAACAAGTCTTTAGTAAGTAATTTACTAACAGCTTGTTCATTATCTGTTTCTAATTTATTAGGTATCGTTATAAATCATTAAAATAAAGTTAACAAGTCATTTATAACTTGTTAACTAACAGCTTGTAAGTTATCTGTTGGCTATCTATGAGGCACAGTTATAAGTAATGAACAAACTATTAACTTTTATTTAACAAGCCATTTTTAACCCATTTACTAACAGTTTATTAATGATCTATTAACTAGTTATAACGGATAGTTATTCTAAAGTGTTACCAACCTAAATGTTTGTTAAGTGTTTTTTTAATGAAGAACATTATTTAAAAACACGTTGTTTTATTCTCTACATTGACTTTATTTGTCTTCACTGTATGATATATATATATATATATATATATATATATATATATATATATATTTTTTTTTTTATGTTAATGACTTCAACATTTGAACAGTAGAATCAATTGTTAAATTCTGTCTTCTATAATATTTGTGTCTATGTCACAGGTCTGGGTTGGTACTATTGGTGCAGGGCCTCAGGGTCGTAAACTTTGCGCCACATTTCAGCATGCAGAGACATTTGCTTTCCAGGATGAAGTAGGAGCCTTGCTGTTGAAAGTGTGCCATACAGTGAGTCGAGGGGTCCTATGCTTCCTGCCATCTTACAAGGTACACACAAGTCAAGTTGCACTTAATTTTCATTCCTTTACATGTGTGGATATACACTGCAGTGAAATGTTGTGTCTCGCGGGACCCCAGTGCTAAAAAAATAAACATCATCATAAATGTTAAATCAACACTGGAGCTATATTATACCTATATATATATTAGCACTGGAGCCATATTATACCTATATTAAAGCTATATCAAACCTAAACATAACTAACGCACCGGAGCAATAGTCTGTTATATATATAATATAGGTATACAGTGCATCTAGAAAGTATTCCTAGCACTTCACTTTTTCCACATTTTTTAATGTTACAGCCTAATTACCAAATTTATTAAATTTATTTATTTCCTCAAAATTCTACACACAATAACCCATAAAGACAAAAAGATTATTTTTTTAATTGTTGCAAATTTATTACAATTAAAAAAGCTGAAAAATCACATGTACATAAGTATTCACAGCTATTCGTTAAGCTCAGGTACGTTCTGTGTCCACTGATTATTCTTGAGATGTTTCAGCAGCTTAATTGGAGTTCACCTGTGATAAATTCAGTTGATTGGACATGATTTTAAAAGGTATACACCTGTCTACATAAGGTCCCAGGGTTGACCGTGCATATCAAAGCACAAACCAAGCATGAAGACAAAGAAATTTTCTGTAAACCCTCGAGACCGAATTGTCTCGAGACACAAGGCTGGGAAGGTTACAGAAACAATTTTGCTGCTCTGAAAGTTCCAATGAGCACTATGGCCTCCATCATCCATATGTGGAAGATGTTTGGAACCACTAGGACTCTTCCTAGAGCTGGCCGGCCATCTCGGGGGAGAAGGACCTTAGTCAGGGAGGTGATCAATAACCTGATTGTCACTCTGTCTTATCTCCAGCGGTTTTCTGTCGAGAGAGGAGAAAGGACAACTATCTGTGCAGCAATCCACCAATCAGGCCTGTATCTTAGAGTGGCCAGACGGATGCCACTCCCTGCCTAGAATTTGCCAAAAGGCATCTGAAGGACTCTTAGACCATAAGAATCAAAATTCTCTGGTCTGATGAGACTAAATTAAACTCTTTGAAGTGAATGCCAGGCGTTACGTTTGGAGAAACCAGGCACTGCTCATTACCAGGCAAATACCATCCCTACAGTGAAGCATGGTGGTTTTTCAGCTGCAGGAACTGGATAACTAGTCAGGATGGAGGGATAGATGAATGCAGCAATATCCAGAGACATCCTGAATGAAAACCTGCTTCATAGAGATCTTGACCTCTTCCAGCAGGACAGTGACCCAAAGCACACCGCCAAAATATCAATGAAGTGGCTTCACAACAACTCGGTGAATGTCCTTGAGTGGCCCAGCCAGAGCCCAGACCTAAATCCTATCGAACATCTCTGAAGAGATCTGAAAATGGCTGTAAATCGTCACTTCCCATCCAACCCGACAGAGCTTAAGAGGTACTGAAAATCAGTGAGCACATAACCTTGATGCCGTGAAACGATGATATTTATATCCAAGGTTTTATACCGTCAGAATCTTACTGGCCCATGCCTAGTGCCAAGCTTTTGGCATCATATTCAAAAAGACTTGAGGCTGTTATTGCTGTCAAAGGTGCATTAACAAAGTATTAAGCAAAGGCAGTGAATACTTATGTATATGTGATTTTTCTGTTTTTTTATTTTTAATAAATTTACAACAATTTCAAAAAATCTTTTATCACATTGTCATTATGGGGTATTGTGTGTAGAATTTTGAGGATATAAATTAATTTAATCCACTTTGGAATAAGCCTGTGTGTGTGTGTGTGTGTGTGTGTGTGTGTGTGTGTGTGTGTGTGTGTGTGTGTGTGTGTGTGTGTGTGTGTGTGTGTGTGTGTGTGTGTGTGTGTGTGTGTGTGTGTGTGTGTGTGTGTGTAGTGCTAATGGTTGGAATAATAATAAGGCTATAAAATGTGAACTGAGGCAATACAATAGATTATTTTTTCACTCAGATCAATATATTGCTACTCTACACTAGAAAGTATGCATATTTAGATGATAAAGAGTTCAAACAAACATAGGATTCTGAACAAAGGGTTTTGCTGAAAGTGAGTGTGTCAGTTTGATACTGCAGCTCTACAAAACTGCCACTGGGAGGCCTTAGAGACCACAGCTTTGTATTTCTGAAAACATGCTGATGTTTCCTTCAGAACCCCATCAAATTATAATATGTGTGCTGTGTAAGACTGTGGTTGCTGTCTCACATCCCGGATCTACAAAGCCATAACGCAAGAACTCGCTGTTTCAGAGTTCAATAACAGTGGTCAGACGATGACCATATGCGCTAATACATAGCTTTAATGTATTATGGATAATGAACAAAACCTTTGAGTGCTGCCTTACGGTTTTTCTGTATCCTTTTTCAGGTAACAGGCTCAATTATTGAAAGCCATTGAAAAATACTTTGTTCCTCATTGTCTGTTACGTTTAGCGTATGAATAATTCAACCCTATTCAAGTTGCCTGTCATCCCTTAGAGAGGATGATTAACTTTTTCTGTTGTCTCAGATGTACATGTTCATCTTGTGTGTTCTTCATCTACGCTTCCTATATATTTAATATTTCAGCGTATTTAGCCTGCAATGAATGTAGTGTGCAACCCCAACTTTAACCCTAGAATCAGTTTCTCCATATATTGACCACATAGATTCCCTGTTGTATATCATGTTCATGTATGAACGTTCCATGTGGATTAATATTTAATCTGAAAATTGAGCAGTTTAGGGACTCACTGGAGACTCTGCATGTTCTGGAGCCTGAGTGTCCCGTCCAGACACCCCTCAACACTTTTCTTTGATCTGTATATCTCATGTGTGTGCGTGTGTGCATGTGTGCGTGCGTGCGTGCGTGCGTGCGTGCGTGTGTGTGTGTATGTGGCTATTTGTCCCTGCAGTATGACACCAATTGTGTCACACTGCTTTTAAGTTCCCAATACTATCAGTGTGTAGGTTACATGGACACCAGTATTCTAATCATTTACTTTATTCTGAATAACACAATAATGTGTTTAAGAGGAATTGCTTTTGGAATATTGCTTTTCATGTTCCTCATTTACAGTTGAAGTCAGAATTATTAGCTCCTCTGTTTATTTTTTTCTCCAATTTCTGTTTAACAGAAAGACGATTTTTTTCAACACATTTTTAAACATAATAGTTTTAATAAGTCATTTATAATGCATATGCAGCTTAGTGATGTTTAAAGGCTTAACTAGGTTAGTTAGGTTAACTAGGCAAGTTAGGGTAATAAGGCAATTTATTGTATAATGATGATTTGTTCTGTAGATTATTGAAAAAAATAGCTTAAAGATGCTAATAATTTTGACCTTAAAATGGTCTTTAAACGATTAAAAACTGCTTTTATTTTAGCTGAAATAAAACAAATAAGACTTTCTCCAGAATAAAAAATATTACCCAATACACTGTGAAAATTGCCTTGCTCTGTAAAACATTATTTAGGAAATATTTAAAAAAGAAAGAAAAAAGCAAAGGGAGGGACTAATAATTCTGACTTCAACTGTATATGTCATAATACATTAATCAAAAAAATCTGTTCTATTTATAATTATTTGGTGAAAGCTTTAAGTTCAATTAATTATTTTCTGTTGTATACAGTGCATGCAAACACATGACACTATACAAAGTCTTGAGTAACAGGCCTCCTCTGCTCTTTCTTTTGGCTACAAATCATTCATGACCCTGCACCAAACAGGTACTGGATGAGAGTTTGAAGTAAAGACTGCTTGGAGAAAATAGTTTTAATGAAATTTGGTGACACCAAATAGAAAGAAAACATAAGGAGCCTTTGTAAAAATGCATTTTTATCTTTTTTTACTTTTAAACTGTTGACTACTGTCATGCAAAAAACAAATGGCAATCTGCATATAAGAAATAAACTCAATGAAATAAGCCCCAATGTTGGAAATAAAAACCTTTATAAACTTTTCAACCCGTGCATTCAGTGGGATTACTGTCGAATCGGTCACTCTAGGATGACACTAGTTTTTAAAACTAGGAGAAGATCCTCCCATGTGTTCCCTTTTGTAAAAACATCTTATTTATGAATTATGTTTGCTTTAGTTATGCGAGTTTTTTATCCAGTTTATTCTTAGGAAGAGATTTTTTACACTGTTAAACTAAATACAGCAACAATAACATTTAAATAACCGCTTGTCTAAGTGCAGTATACATTTTCTCACCTTGGAAATAGCAATAGAAGCTGGCATGGCATTTAAACAAACAAACATGCGTGGATCCTGTTGTAAAATTCAGAGTATATACTCCACTTTGAGAATGTGACTACAAAACTTTGGTTTTAAATTATCATTAAATCTATGACTTTTTGTTCAAAATAAATAAACAAATAAATCAAATCAAATTAAAACTCATACTTCAAAAATATATAGTATTGCAAACAGCCATTAACTGAAATTTCATCATACCTTTCTAATTTTTTGTCACCTCTATTCATTAACATATTTCTTTAATAATAATAATAATTATATATATATATATATATATATATATATATATATATATATATATATATATATATATATATATATATATATATATATATATATATATATATATATATATATATATATATATATATATATTTGTAGAACTTTAAATGGATTAATATCCTGACTGAATATGACTTTTGCTCGATTAAGATCATCAAAAATATCTGTTTACATGTTAGGTTGTCAGATTTTCCTCTTAGCATGTGGTTTTGGTCTTTCAACGTGTCTCAGTTGGACCCCTGTTAACAATATTGGCCCATGCTTTTTGGCATGACCTCATGACAAGACAGGCTAAACAGCTGTAAGGGCCTGCTTATTAAATGTGGGCTAGGAAAGGTGAAAAGATCTTGTGGAATTGCAGGATGCTTTTAAAGCAGATTAAGATAAGGGCCATTAGAACTGACGTCGCCAAGCTGTCTGTGTGAAGATGCATCTTAGCTGGCGCCT